ATGAAACATTCATTATTACAGACATGGCTTTCTGTGGTCGTAGAGCACTCACAAACTCAAATGAGTATCTTGTTAATGGAAATACATTGACTGCCGAATATATGTGCTTTGCTTATAAGATTACCACGACGGATCCGATTTTTATGAATTTTCAAGTTCAGAGTGATGAAGATCCTCCAGTTATCGAACATATATTGCTGACTTTAAGGAACGATTCACGTTGGCATTACAAATGCATTAATCTACGTGAAATGCTCGAGCAGTATTCTATGGCGTACTTGACTGTTACTTCGTTTCTGATCAGTCGAGTCTATCTCGACTACTATATCCCATCACGTGTCATGATTGATACGGTCACATTACGTGACTCGTTACCCATTGGATACGAAGAAGACAATATGATTATGTCAACGGATCAATCATCTACAGGTCTATGTAGATTTCCATTCGTTTACAACGGCCAAAATCGCTCGTCATGCATACTTGATGAAGACTATATGCCCATTTGCGGTTTAACTCCGAATACAAAATTTTATTGCCAAAATTCATCAATCGAAGGCGTTCGACGACTCTTTCCGAAATATCAGTTGCTCGATAATTCATTCCAAATAACACATTCAGCAATGAGCCATACTATTGATATATCCTTTCGATTTACGGCATGCATGTCACCATCATTGATCGAAGTGTTACCTCCAACTGTAAGTAAATGATGTTATTTAGCTAACCATTATGAAACCATTTTTTTAGGTTGGCCAAGTGATCTCAATCACAAATGCATCAAAGCCAGTTAATGGACAGTATTCTATAATGTTCAACGGACAACAATATTATCCAATTCCTGCAAAAATAACTGGATCAAATTTGGCCAATCTACTTCAATCATTTTCCGATTTTGGCTATGTAGCTGTAGCTCGTGCAGGAGAGTGTGCTCAGTATTCATACACGATCCAATGGTTAACCAATGGTGAACAACCACTTATCTCAATCGCAAATTCATCTGAAGTACGACCAATTGATGCTCCAATGACCGTTTTGTCAATACGAAGTGGTAGTACTATTAGTGTTTTCTATAATCTTCCGAATGATATACTACGAACCTATCATATGACTCCTCAGGTGAGGTTATTTCTATTCTTATGATTTTTTTATTTCCTCGTGTTCAAAGGTGGAGGTGCTTGTCGGTGGCTATCCGTCTTATTGTTCGAACGAGAATAATAACTGTCAATTTCAATGGTCGATCGATCACACACCTACAATTATATCCGTTGAACAGAATGGAACAATGGTGACTATTCATGGTACTGGATTTAGTGCCGAACTCGAAGCGAATATGATTTCAATCGGTAAGAATGGTTCATGCGACGTCCTATCAGCCAATACGACATCAATCATCTGCACCATTGTCAACGCACCATCTGGTCGACAGATTTTACAACTGAACATTGCGGACAAAGGTCTTGCGTCAAGTAACGAAAGTTTCATAGTAGACGTGCCACTGTTAATCACTTCATTTGATCCAGCTGGAGGGGATGCAGGTGGAGGCTACCAATTGACAATCTTCGGAAGTGGATTTTCATCGAGTGCCTTAATTACGCTTGGCGAAAACTTATGTGGAAATTTGACTGTTGTTAATTTTACTTCAATCAAATGTACTGTTCCTCCAAGTGGTAGTATGAGTTTGATTCGGGTGACGGTAATCGTCATTGATGGCTCAAATTTGGCTACTGCATCTGGACAATTTACGTACAATACGACGAATACGCCGACTATTTATGCTATTGATCCGACTTTTGTGACGATGCTTGGTGGGCTATTGAATATTAGTGGCACCGGATTCGGCAACGATGACGTTTCAGTTTTTATAGATACAAGCAGTGCTCGTGTTTTAGACTCATCAAACAATCATATTCTAGTGAATTTGAGTATACTACCACCTGGACTTTATCCGATCACGGTTCGTACTTCAATGGGTTTTGCACGACCTCTTTTTCATATTGAATACAGATTCTATGTACAAGAAGTGTCACCTCAAATTGGCTCGGCCTATGGTGGCACCGATGTTTATGTTCAAGGAGCAGGCTTTGAAAATGGAACACGTATTCAACTCCGTGATCGAAACAATCGTCTCTTTCCTTGCAACATTGTTTCAATTCAATCGAATCAAATTCATTGTCAAACAGCGTCTACTGCTCGACAAGTTACAATCACATCGAATGGTATTCATCCGACCTTTGGCTTTGGTTATGCTTGGTTTCCTAGTCGTGAAACAGTGCAACAAGGAACCGTTGTTACCTGGTATTGGAGTTCAGCCGAACTTCGCTCACCAGTTTATTACAAGATACAACAAGTAGCAAATGCGTACAGTACTGAACTAGTACCAAACGGATTTGATTCTGGTTCAGCAACATCATCTGGTAAGCAACATCTAATCAAAATTACATGCATGTCCTTATCTCGATATTATAGGTTCATTTTCTTATCAATTTGATAGAGTGGGTACTTTCTATTATTTGGCACCGAATATTGATCAATCTAGTGGATATGCAATGCGAGGTGTCATTGATGTTGTAGCCTTAGAACCTGAGATAATGACTGTGGAAACCATTTGGGATAAGTTTACTGGTAAGTTTCGACAGACATTTCTTGAAACGTGAAGTCATTTTCATTCGTTAGCTCAAACATGTGCATTTCCATTTACTTTTGATTCTGTCAACTACACGGCATGCACTTTAGTGAACGATACACAATCGTGGTGTTCACCAACATCAATCTATACCGGTCAAAGGCTCTATTGCAGTCCAACAGGTATGCTCATTGTTCGATTAGAAGACGAACAAAATATTTCATTATATGGAAATATCGTAACCAGGGTGTTAAGTTTAGATGTGGGTGTGGGTAAAGCCAACACTCACATCCACATCCACACCCACATCCTACACTTTCCATCGACTTAACATTGTTGTTTTTAGTTTCGGTGCCTACTTCATCATGTTCTTGGAACATAATTAATGTGAGTTCCTGTGTTGAATCAGTAACAACTTTGTCCAATCCGACGCAGTTTCTGTCTACACTTTGCACAGTCGAATCTATTACTGAAATATCGCCTATGGAAGGTCCTGTTGGAACCCAAGTGACAATAACAGGTCTTGTTTTTTCTAGTCACTTTTTCTAATCAAATAAATTTACTACAGGCACAAACTTTACCGGGAATATTTGTGATTATGATATTCAAATCGGATCATCGTATCATTGTCCCATAATAAATATGTCGTCGAATCAACTTATATGCCAGATCACAGTGAACTCCATGTTAGATGCCACAACGAACCAAATTGTTCGTGTTGCCCGTTATCGTCAGGGTTATCTAGCCAGTCGCAATCCATTGCAATTTAGATTTCTATCGTCGATCTCAAACATCTCTCCTATGATGGGTAGAATTTCTGAGATGAGCTAAAGAAAAAAAAAACTGACTGTTTCTTTGTGTACCTATTTGTTTCAGGTTCGATTTATGGTGGCACTCGTGTGACAATCGATGGCGACGGGTTCATATCAGATGACACGCGAGTGTTTATCTTAGGTGCGAATTATACACACGTAGGATCTGTATCCTATTCGCGAATCATCTTCACTACTCCACCAGAGTTAACATATGTGAATTTTAATTTAACCGTATTGGTTTATGTTCGCACAAGTCGATCAGTGTGTCTTCTAGCCTCGTGTCATTTCTCTTGGGCAACACTTATTACGCCGTACTTTGACTCAGTGAATCCGTCAGTAATTCGTGGCAACACAAATTTAACGATCACAGGGCGAAATTTGCTTAATAGTGGGAACACAGCTGCTGATGCTCATGTGAGCATCAATAGCAATCTTTGCAATGTCACAGAAATGAGGAATGAATCGATCAATTGCACAGTGATGAGTGTCGAAGCTGGTCAACATCGTATTATTGGATCAATTGATGGTCTGCTATTGTATACTACAGATTATGCTTGAATGTTTACTTTGTTTATTTCAGGTGTTGGAAATATTTATTCATCGTTAACTATCACATCAGAGGCCTTCGTATCGGCAATAGTACCACTGGTCAGTAGCGTCTACGGTGGTGCGATACTGACGATCATTGGTCATGGATTTTCGAGCAACATCAGCCAAATTCAAATCACAATTGGTTCAAATTTGTGTCCTGTAGTCCAAGCAATGAATAGCCAGATTCAATGCATTATCCCTGCTCGAGGTAACAGTTCCGATGCAGCTACTATTCTTATCATTTCACATCAAGTTTCCTTTCCATCCTCATTCACATTGAATTACAATGAGACAATTACACCCAACATCACTTCTGTTAGTCCAACATTTGGCAATAGGTCTCAAGTTTTGGTCATTACTGGAGATAACTTTGTTGGCAATGGGCAAACGAGTGTCACAGTGGGAAATACTGCATGTATTGTCAGTAATTATTCAATAGGATCAATTATATGTACGGTTGGTTTGAATTTATCAGCCGGTCATCATGCAGTCACTGTTCATGTGGACGAAATTGGAAATTCCAATTCGGATATTTTCTACACGCACGATCTCTTCATCACGAGTGCTACACCATCAGAAGGAGGTTATGGTGGTGGTCTATCAGTGATGATTCTTGGCTATGGATTCAACGGAACTGATGTCACTATCAACATATGTAATCAGTCTTGTTTATCAGTAGAAATCGTGTCCAATGTTCAACTCATCTGTGTTACGCCTGAAGTTTCGATGGTCGAAGTGAATAGTTCGTGCAATTTAACAGTTACTGTCAATGGTATCAGTAAAAATACACGATTCACCTACAAAGCTAACTTGACTGCAATAGTAACATCAGTGAGTCCAACTCGAGGTGGAACAGGTGGTGGAACGAGGATTACTATCATTGGAAACTATTTTCCGTGAGTTTTTTAAGCCTAACACGTCACTTATATGACTATTTTTTAACATCTAGAACTTCTGCAAATGTCGTAATGGTGACTATTGCAGAGTCGCCATGTTCATTGCAAACAGTCACAACAACAAATATTACATGTGAGACTGGCAGTTATCAATATAAAAGTGTACGAGCCCAAGTCAAGGTATTCGTCAATGGTAGTGGCTATGCAATCAGTTCAGTTGATTTTCAATACATTGATCTTTGGTCGAGTCCATGGACATGGGGTGGTAATGAGCCACCAGAAGCTGGCACACTTGTGGTAATTGAAAACTATGTGACTATCTATTTGGATATCAAGACACCTATTCTGAAAGTACTTGTTATTGACAATTCCACATTAATTTTCGACGATTCACAAGATGTTGCTTTGAATGTTGAGTATATTGTCATCGTCAACGGTGGTCATCTTCAAGTCGGAACAGAATCAACTCCATTTCAACATCGTGGTATTATCACTATGTATGGACACTTGCGATCGATCGAATTACCTATTTGTAAGTGACATTCATTTTGTAGTATTTCTGAAGATTCGTTTTCGATTAGTTGGTGCCAAAGTGTTGGCTTTGCGTGAGGGAACAGTGGACATGCACGGAATGCCTACTGTTCGAACTTGGACACAACTTGGAACGACAGCTAGTAATGGTTCAACAACAATTACTCTTCTTCAACCTATCGATTGGAATGTTGATAGTCAAATCGTTATCGCAACTACGGGTGATCGTTTCAGTCAGAAAGAAAGTGAAATCCGGCGAATTGTGAATATCTCATCGAATGGACTTACATTAACCTTGGACATACCATTGAAATATACCCATTTGGGCGTTATACAAACGTTGAATTCAACAACCATCGAAATTCGCGGTGAAGTTGGTCTTCTTTCGCACAATGTCGTCTTCCAAGGTTTCTATAGTCGACAATTAATATTTTATGTGACGGAATGATTTTTTTATTCAGGTTCAATTACCGAAACATGGGATGAAACCATAGAAGAATGTCCGGCTGGATTCAATCCGGGTAAGATAGTTTTCAATAAGATGATCAGAACACTGAATATATCAGCAACAGTCACGGATTGTCTGTTGACAGTAAAGTTGATTTGACTAATCCTAACTCATAGCCAAAAAGAAATCATTGATAATTAGTCATCGGCAGTTTTATTCTAGTATAGTATTTGGAAAAGATCCATACTATCATATCTAATTTTATTAATAAAACTGAAATATGATGTCGATTGATATTGTTCTGCGAAGTTCTGTTGAAAATAATGAAAATTCGAAATATTCAGAATACAGAAGTAATGAAAACTCATTTTGTTTTCAGACGAATTTGCCGTACAAACATGTTTTCTTGGTCGATATGGGCAGGAGATCGGGTCTGATCAGTTTGGTGCGATGATCATGGCTAGTCAGGGCAGCAAGACTACGAATGGCACTCAACGAGTAGTTGTTCGTTTGTCCAATGTCGAAGTAGACAATCGCCTGCTTTTCTGATTTAGATTGCTTTAGTTTTCTCATGTAGATCTTCAACGTTGGCCAGGCATTTCGTCTCGATCGTTATGCAATACATTTTCAGAGAAACGGTAATATGAGCGAATCCTTTGTGAAATCATCTTCTATTCACCTATCATTCAACCGAGCTGTTCACATTCAGGCTAGTGATTATATCACTATTGAGAACAATGTTATATATAATATCATGTATGAATTTGATGCTGAGTAAGATCCGTAATACTTTGTGTCTAACATATGAATAGGGGTAATGCGATGTTTCTCTCGGATGGCATTGAAGTCGGGCATATTTTTCGAGGAAATCTGGCCATTTTTGTTCGAGCCAGTTCCAGTCTTCTCAATGAAGATCTTACGCCAGCTGCTTTTTGGGTAAGATAATAATCTAAAGATACTTAGGTGAAGATTTCTTTGAATAGTTAACCAACCCTAATAATATTGTCGAATTCAATGCAGTAGCTGGTATCACTCATTATGGTTATTGGTATCGATTGAGTAATAAACCTGAAGGACTTTCACTTCTCACAAATCCCAACTATTGTCCTAATCGACAGCCTTTCGGTCGCTTCTACAATAATAGTGTACATAGTACAGGTCGATTTGGAGTCTGGATCTATCCTGAATATGCTCCCACTACCTCAGGTGATTGTAACGATATGCAACCGTCACAAGCGATACTCGAAGGCTTGGTATCGTGGAAAAATAATAAAGGCATTGAGCTAGTCATGACTCGCACAACACAAATCAAGAATGCAGTAGTCTTTGACAATGCGGATATAGGTGTCGCCTACATCACAGCTGTTGGTCATCAAGAAACCAATCCACCGTATCTACGCGCAACATTCTATGATACTGATAATGGCTCATCAGTGATTGATAGTATAATTATCGGCGATGCGGGTATCTCCTCCACGCCAATTGTACCATCCACTGCAGGTCTTGTAGGTAAGTAAGACGAATTTGCTGACTAGTTGTTCCAGTCACGTACAATTTTTAGCATAGTTTTTCATTTTCATTATAAAAATACACTAGATGTTAGTTGAGAAAACAACATATTCATTCTCAATCACATCAAATTTTCTGACAGTTCCTTTTAAAGAAATCATGGTTAAGACAACTGACACATATCTATGAAACGAACACCCTCTTGTGCACCTATCAAAACAATGTGCGGACATGGAATATGAAAGCAAATACATCTCTCACGAATAAATGAACTTAAAACAGATAGCACTGGAGTGTATGCCATGCGAGAAATCTTATTGACAAACTAGGTATTAACCTCTACTGTTGTTTTAGTCAGATGCTCGTGTCAAAGATTACCCATCTTAAAAATTTATGAGCACTTCCTTTCAGTCATTCTTATTGCCTAACATATTTACATTTACTCATATTGCTATGATCTATTGTATCATTTTTGGTTGATAGTCATGTGGGACCGTGGTCTTCGTGTTCGCAATGTTGCTTTTATCAATTTTCCAAGCAATGAGACACGTGCTATAGTCGGACCGATCATCCTTGGCCGATGTACTGATCGTTGTGGAGGTACGAATGCAACTGATCGTTGTATGTACTATAGTAATTTTTATCATTCCTTAATACAGGTTGGCTAACAAAGTTCTCCAACATGTCCTTTATAAATGTTTCTATTCGTGGCAAATTTCGATGGGAATACGATGCTCTATATCATGATGAGGATGGTACTTTGGGTGGACAATCCGATTCAGTAATAATGGCACCCGACGGCATCACAAATGCATCATCGACATGCACACTAGTACCCAACTTCGAAAATGCTATTCAATGTCCTCTATCAGAAGGTTCATGGTTACGGTTTTCACTCCGTCATCCGTTGAGAAGAAATCTAGGTCAACTATTCATCTCTGATGAAGAGAATTCGTCAACTATTGTACCATGGCTTCAAGAGCAGTTAACCTATCCAGAGGGATACTTAGTTGTATTGAGAGCAAACCAAACGTACACGCTCCAGTTTGAAATGAATCCAGTAAGATTATATTGTCGTTTCATTTTGCGCAATTTTTTCGTTTCCGATTCGGCACTAATTAGCATACGAATGACCTCAGATATGTCGGCGTTGTCTATGATGTGGCTCCTGGTGATTATTTGATCATTCAACATCCGATGAACGTTGAACCAGCTAGAGCGGATACCGTAGTCGATCGGTCTATGATTCCAGGAGTATCGATGCCACTATCCCAATGGAATACTACTAATGGTGACTGGTATTATGACAGCATCACGTCTCTGTTCTCGTACATCGGTAAGTGGAAGTGTTGAATAATGTATTTATTTCATACAGGCATTTATTCAGTTGAAAACCCATCAACAGCTAATACAAGCATCGATATAGAAATATCATTTCAAGTTTACACATGTCCGTGCAACAACTGTGGATGCCCAACAACTACAACTACAACGGCCACCACAGCTACAACAACAACGGAGACAACGACAACGACTACATCAGCTACAACAACTACGACTACATCAGCTACAACAACCACAGCTACAACAGCCACAACAACCACAGCTACAACAGCCACTACAACTACAGAGACTACAGCCACATCTACTATTTATCTACCTCCAATACAACCCGTTGATGAATTACCATCAAATCCGCAACTGGTGAGAGTTCACTTATAATTGCCTCACCTTTTACTTTAATATATTTGAAAAAAAAATCCTAGGAGAATATTCTCAAACGTTATCTTTCGTATCATTCTGCCTTCATATGTCGATTTCACTTCATGAACTAGAACGTTGTCTCTAGACGGGGTGGTGCAGAATGTAGAGATGTTTTTTTTCCAATTTCAATGTCCCTAGTTGATACATCAAGAGTTGTGAACTTCATTCGAGTTTACGAAAAAGTGGCATTTATCAGATGTTGATGCACTCGTCATCAGACTGAAGAACGACATAATATAGTGTGAGGGAATATCTACACAGGCATATCAAAATTATATGTCTGATGATGATCAAAAGATGTATCACAGGAGGAAAAGTTCAGTTTCTTTTCTTTTAATCTGATGACTTCAAATCTAATCAAAAAGTATTAGTCAAAAAAGTAAAAACATGTCCAATAATGGAAAAACAAAACAAAAAAGCAAAATCTTGGTGATAGGGACACGTGTACGAAATAAATAAATACTTCTTCTAGTTTTTTGATAAACATAACTTGATGAATAGACTATGAATTATAATACAACGATCAGCAACTTCATATATCTTTACTGTCCTTATTGGTTGCATAAAAGTCAATAAATGGATAGTTTGAGTGCGAGCTGTCTTTTCTTTCTGACAAAGGTGTACTTTTCATTAAAAGAAGGAAATGATCTTTCACAAGCCTAATCTAACCAGTGCAATGATTAATACTGAATAAGAAACAGCTCAATAGGCATTTGATACCTAGTTTCGATCTCATAAGGGCATGCCCGAGTAGAATCATTTTTCAGCTCAACTATTTTCAAACTCTAGTTTGTATAAGCTAGGGAGTATTCCTGAATAAAATTACCTGTATATTTCTTGTAAAGCTCAGAAAAACACAAATCTTTAACCCTTGGAAATAATAATTATACGGACGTCATCAAATCTGAAAATAAATTTTAACCTGGGTAGATAAGGTATACCTTCCGTTTCACTGATTTTTAGGTATCCGTTAAGTGTGTTTAAACAAGCTTCGGCGAGGCTCAATGGTGTGAGGAAGCATAAAATTTTCCGCTTCATGAAATGATAAGAATATTAAGCCGATAAGCCGTATTCATCGCTATTAAATAAGCAGATACTTGAACTCATTTAAACTGCTTAATTTTGAATGAAGAGTTGATCTAGTCTTATATTTTTCAAGCCTACTTCTCGATTTCAAAACATTTTTTGTTTCATCTATCTTTCTTTAGTGCCAAGCTCTCGACGTGAGATATTGGTCGGTTGATTCTCACTGGACATTTGGACCACAAGACTATGCTAATTCGTGTAAGTTCACTCTTTATTTTTTATAGCTATTTATGACGAAAATCTATTGCAGTTGGTGCGAAGCCCGGAAGCGACAAAAATATCTTTGTTCCTCGTTGCATCTGGCTAATAATTGATTGTCCGCTTCCATCTATCCGGGCATTGAAAATTGAAGGTGTGGTTGAATTTCAACAGGCAAGATTCTCTGCTTTGCCAAATTTTTGCATGTTTTCTTCTAATTTTCGTTATTTTTAGGGAGGTAATTATGTAATGTATGTTGATAGCATCTTCATTAATGGTGGCCGATTGATTGCTGGTAAATATCTTAGCGCTGAAGAAATGGTAGTCATTTTTTGTGAATTTCTGATAGGTTTACCCAACGCTCCATTCAATGGTAGTGTCGATATTATTTTGAGATATACTGGTCCAGTTACTATGCAATTGCCTTGGAATTTCCCTGTGAAAGAGTCACGAACTATTGGCGTTCTGGGTGGCCTTGATTTACATGGTATGTCACGTGGAATCACTTGGACACGTCTTGCTGTGACCGCTATGTCGGGTCAAACTGTCATAATCTTGCGCGAACCAGTCAGTTGGGTTGTTGGCGATGAAATTATCATAACAACCACAGATACAAGCATTTCTCACACTGAACGACATCGCATCATCAATATTGAAAATGCGACGATAATACATACTGAAGTACCATTAGCATATAGTCATCTCGTTATTCAACATGCACTAGCTAATGGACAAACGATTAGTGTGGCCGCTGCAGTTGGATTATTGACACGTAACGTACGCGTAATTAATCAATACCAAGGATCTAGTCTATCTGGATTCCGAATTTTGATCACTGACTATCAAACAGATGTGTTACATATTTACTCCAATACCATGTACAATGCATACTATAAAGGTTATGCTCGATTATCGAATACGCAATTTATCGGCTTCGGACAGTTGAATGATGGTTATTATAGTGATCAGCAATCAGGTATTTATATAAATCATCTCGGTGATTATAATTCAAGCAGAGCTACTTTCATCGATGCTTGTTCGTTCGATGGTGGATTTAATGCAGCGTAAGTATGATGTAATCACTTACTTGTCTTTATAAATGTTCCATTTACAGTATTGGTATGCGGACCACGAATGGTATACCAATTACAAACAATGTTATATACAACACATATCGATCAGGCATTGTTGTGACTGGAATGAACAATGTCGTTCAAAATAATCTCGTCACAACTGTCTACTGGGTGGGTACAGGCCAAGATCCATCAGTTGCCCAATTTAGTTCGAATTATGATGGTGCAATTATGGCTCGTGATGCTACCAGTGTGAGATTGCAAGTTTGTATTGTTACCTTGAGTGCATTGTTCAATTTTCACAAGTGATCTCTTTTCTCCAATAGAATAATTTGGTTGCCGGCGTTGAACGTTTGGCCTATCGTATCCCTGGTGAATCATGTGGAGGTCAAGATATTTATATTCCACCGAATATAATCAATGAATATTCGAACAATGAAGCACATTCGGCCATGTCCGGCGTCAACCTTTGGCCGTCAGACAAAGGGTTTATATATGATCGAAGTAGGTGTTTCAAACAGTATTCAAATGTTCATGTTTTCTTTTCTTTATCTATTCCAGAATGCGTTCTAATCAAAGGATTCAAGTATGTATGAAAAGCGTTGCAAACATAAAACGCAGTTACTATACCTATAATTATATATATATAGTACACTATTGTTGTACAGATCGAGAAAATAGTAATATAGACAATATTTGAAATAGGATTGAAAAAAGTGTATGTGAATATTGACTGCAGCTAATGATTTGTTTTTTTTCGTACAAATACGTGTAAACGGCAGATCGGGATGATTGAGGTACAGCGAAAAGCACTCATTTGATAGTTCTGACGTTCATGTGCTTGATCTAGCACATGATGTAGAGTGACTCTCAAATAGGAAATCCTAGTGCACCACAGATTGAGCAACATGAGAAAAAAAACATTTACAATGTTGCTTTTGTTTCTGACAAATCAGCTGTATCTGGAAGATTGATAACAAACCATATACACAAACGATGAATGGAACTTTTCCTTCATGACTCATAACCTATATCTTCATACTGATGTAGTTCGTAAATTTAAGCTTCTGACGCAGCATATAGATGTCATTATAGATATGTTTGGTCAGTATCATGGATGTTTAGAATATACCAAAGACAGGGCATGATCAGAAAAAAAACAAAAGCTTGCCAACTTTTACTTCAAATATTAACATGAAAGGTTCTATTTTTTTTCAAAAATAAATAGGATTTACAAGGCATGGTACTATGCTTTCTACATCAATACACCTCGCAATATTACCATTGATTCGTGTTCATCTATCGACAGTCACGTTGGCATTTTCACTTATGTGATTGGGCCATCGGGTAACGATGTTTTTCATTGATTTTCTTCTTTCAACTCTTGAATTCTCTTTGAACGATTAGCTGTAACACATGTGCCGGTTGCCAGTCGCGTCAATATTCGTTCTTCGCTAGTGGTCGGTTCGATTACAAGGGAAGATTGTGGAGATAGAATTAATCCAAATTCGATAAATATTCGATTATCACAAATTGCAATACCTGGCGTATCAGCAAACTCATCTTCTGGTAATGCTGGTGGTCGATCTGGCATAGTTTTTCCAACTATTTCAAGGAACAACTACATGCCCATTCGCTCGTGGACTGGAATTGGTATATATCCTTGTCGTAAGTTAACATCGAACATTATTAATCGATAGTTAAATGATGTTTTTGAATATTCTAGTCGATGGTCTGATGCTCATCACCAATACGACTCTTGCTTTCTTCAACAATACTTGTGGTCGACACGATGTAGCGATTCAAGTGTCACAGAGCAATGATGATGGACAATTTCCGATTGCAACAAATTCCATGTTTGTCTATAATATATCTCAAGAAAATCTTATTTTCAATGGCGAGCCAAACTTAGGTGTGGTAAATCCAAGCAGATGCGGCGGTAAGTCTAAGCTACGGACGAATTTGTTTGTTGAATAAATCATTGTTGCAGATATGGATTGTGATGGCCTGAAAAAGAATTTGATTGTCGATACGGATGGATCACTTTTCGGTCAGCCAGCAAGTGTCTTTTCGCAGGCTGAATCTCTGTGGGGTCAGTAATCGATGATATTTGAAGAAGAAAAAAAAATCATTGAAAACACCTTGTGTTTAGGTAGTCAACAGCATGGTATCGGAGATTTTCGTATTCCTCGAATAGCATTGACCAATTTGACCGGACACAGAATCAATATCAACTTAACTTATCCATATCGTGGGATCAGTCGCAGTAATTCCTGTTCTCTTCAATCATCGTGGGGAATGTACATATGCAATTCGAGTGCTGATTATCGTATGTTGATCATCGAAAGTATGGATTCGGATACGGAAAAACGACGTCTTTCGCCTGTTGCTATCATGTCCAATAGTGGCTACATTGATCTCATCAATGGACCTCAAGATCAGAGCATCTGCAATGGTTATTCTTGTCGAAAGCGTATCTCAACATTCATGGCCATCGTTCAATCTGGGCAAACCTATCAAATCTTTTTCTCAAGTACTCCCCCTAGACATACACGTTTTCGCTTGCTCAATGCTGATTCTACAATAAAATGTGTTTTGGCTCTTCACTACGATTCATTACAACAAATCGATGTCTATGCCAACACGATGTACATACCGCCAACTAATAGAGATCTTCGAGCGCCTGGTCTCATGTTACTTGATCAACCAAATAACGTCACATTATTGTCACCATCTGGAAGCAACTACTTTGATAGGTTCGATTTTTTTTTTCTCACGATTTTCTCAATAATAAAATGAGAACAAATGATTTTTGACCAAAGAAAGTAAAAAACAAATCATTTTGGATACTTACAAGAGAGATTCTATGCATCGAGTATGTCTAAGCATTACAGTACAGTTGTTACACTTCTTGAAGACTTTTAGAAGAGCAGAGTAAAATTGATTCTGAGAACACTGTTGTTTATTTTATTTTATTTTTTTTTGTATCAAAGTCACCTTTCTCTCTAATGATTAAACGTTGAATGTGTTATTTCTTTTGTCCACAAATAGAACTTATCAAATGGCCTATTTTGCTATTGATGGTAGCACTATGATCGACATCAAAGTATCACCACTACTCATTCTCTCTTTTGGCTTCCCACCCATGGATCCAGAATCGTTTTACTCCGGCAATCTTGTTGCCAATTTGGCAGCTCTCTTGAATATCAGCCCCGACAAGATTCGGCGCGTTAATATTGTTTCAGCCTCGAATCAAACGTAAGAGTTTTATGTTTTTGTTTGATTTTTACATTATTCTATCTTTCTTTCAATAGTCGTATTCGTCGTCAAGCATCGTCTGTTTTATTACCCATAAAATTACAGATTGAACTGCGGGATGAACCTCGCACCAGTTCGATTGCCTCGACTGGAATTCGAGCAGAAATTCTATCGAATATTGCTTCGACTATCATCAATCGTTATCAAGCAGGTGAATTACAAGTGGCATGGAGAAATCTCAATGTAACAAATGGTAGTTTCCCATCTGTCTTGAGTACACAAGAACCATTTGATAACTCATCAGTTGAACTGAGTATCATCAATCGACTTTTACTTGTCTTACCACCGAGAGACTGCCGGCAGCAGAGTCCGTGTACGTTTCAACCAGTGCTCGTGGCATACGATGTAGCAGGAAATGTCATTCAAAAGTTAGGCTCAAACGAGCGACCATGGCAAGTGAAAGCTACTGTCGTAGGTCGGCCAAATCTAATTTTGCCGGGTGGTATAGCCAATTATTCTGATGGACAAACACAGTACATTCTATTCGGTCTACCAGATATCGGTACTCAACAAGTTCAATTTACTCTGATTCAACCAGATGGTGTTAACAGGTATTGAGAAGCTATTCTTAATCATTTTGAATTCGACTCGTTCTTTTCAATAGTTCATTCTTAGCGACAACAAACCTGAGTGTTCAAGCTGCGTCTGTCTCTGTGACACAAGCAGTTCTAGCTGGTCAGCAAGTGAAAAATGTCTATGTTGTCAATGTCAATGAAACATTTAGTATCGCTGTCATGCCAGTTGATAGTGTTACTCAACTACGTCTCGGACAAATTCAATGGGGAAGTTGGCGATGGTCGGCCAATATCACCCTGATTAGTTTGCCGAAATTCAATCGCCACGGATCACTAGTCAAAAACAATTCATCAAGAACTAATATTGACCTCGTAGCAGGTACAGTTACAGTCACTAATTTGACCATCAATGCTACCGGTATGTATGTGCTGCAAATTCGATTGGTTTCTTCAAACAATGAATATATCATTGAGCTACCATCGAATGGAATTCTCGTTAAAGAAGATAGTGGTAAGTTCAGTGCTTATTGAAGACAACCGTTGATCATCATGTGTCTTCTTAAGATAATTTTATCACTGAAATCGATGCGATCTCAAGCAACTTCACATTTGCGGGCGACTTTGATGCACTCAATGCTAGCGGTGAACTTGAAATTATACGTGCAATGATCTACAATTATTTGATTAATCTTGGCATGCCTCTCATCAGTGATATCATTCTGGTGAAAGGTTTATAGAATTCAAAATTCAAAATTCAATATTTCTCGCACCTTTTTACTGTTTTAGGTAGTGTGGGCGCGATTGTTCAGGTCGACTCAGAAAATACAAATATATCAAAAGCCGTAACAAGCATGTTAGCGGATCCAAATGCCATACCGCGTTTAAGTCTTATAATGGTAAATATCAATGGTCATTCGTACTCGCGCTCGTCTTCGTCGAGTAATGATGCAGCGAGTAATGCCGATAATTCGAATAGTAACACCTTAATTGTCGGTCTCGTGGTTGGCCTAGTTGGTGGTCTATTACTTGTAATCGGCGTCGTTTGGGGTTATAAAGCACGTGAACGAATGCTTACTCGTCATCGTCTTGGAGTAGGAGAAACCGATGAAGACAGACTGACAGGAATCGATGAAAATTGTGTCGCATCACCGAGACTTGATAAACCCATAAGTGTACCAAACTTGGAACCAATTGAGTTCTCTCGAGTGTCCACTATCCCACCGCCATCCAATGGAATGCATTCGACTCAACCCTTCAACCAAGCCGAACTTCAGTCGGCTGCATGTAATCTTAACTTGCATAATTTCAACAAAGCTGAGGAGTTAGTTCCATCGTCCGCAATAGAATTGATTGCATTCGATTGATAAAACTGAAGTTTTGTCATTGCTCTCGACCATGATTCATCTTTAGTTAGATTGCTTATCCTTTCTTGTCTGTTCTTATGCTACGTATTGTATTTTTTGACTCTTTCCTTTTATCTTTTCGTTTTTCTTCTCTTTTCGTGCATCGCTCTCATAGAAAAGAAACTTCATTCGTATGTCACTGTATGTGAGGGAGAAGAAATATTTTCGAAGACATATATATGGTGTGCTTTTTCTCTTTTCATTTTGATTTGAAATAAAATAAGTGACATGAAAATACAAAAGAGAATGAGAAAGTTATTAATGGAAGTGTAGTTAGATTTCACATATGTTTTTAAGTCCTTATCTTTTACCAGACTAAATTCCATAGTCTCTAAATTAAAGTGAAATTTGCCTTACTTTTCGTATATCCTCTACTCATAGCTTTTTGAGCCTTTTCAAAAGAAACCATGAGCACTCTTCTAAGATGAAAATTCTCAACATGCTCTTTTGGCAAGGGGGAAACATGATACTTCATACTTCACGTAGTTTAAGGTACTTTAACGTACTTTAAGATACTTTAACCTGTTGACGGCGAAGCCCGTAAATTTACGGTTTCAAAATTTGAATAGGCTATTAAAGGAATTACTCACTAGTTCCAGCTATACTATATAAGAATAACTTGATGAAGCTCACTAGTGATATACTGTAGACACTAGGGGTATCTTTCGTAGGTACTATCATTGGTTCATATGGAACCAATCATTGTATTTAGCATTCGAGAATGTTCTGTTGAAGTAGTATACATAGAAGGTACCTTTATCGTATAAATAACATACGGCGGTTCGACAAGATCATATTAAAGAAGAGACGATAACAACAATTGTTGTTACTAATCAACTTAAGGGAACATCCCCCCGTTTCCGGACCCGAAATTTTTAATTTTTTCGTTTTTAATTTTTTGCGTTTAGTATGTGGATTTAGGTGCCCTCTATCTAATGAGCACATTTTAAGAAGGCAAAACCACCTTTTTGTATGCGAAAAACTCGAAAAAAAAACTCAATTTTATGCTCAAAAAGCCAAAAAATGCAACTTTCTTTGCGTTTTTCTCAAAACCAGATTTTTAAACAAAAAATTGAAGTTTTCCTCCCTTTTCTCCTGAACAGTAAGACCGATTGGGCTCAAACTTTTTTTATGAGTGCTTCGGTCAAATCGGGATGCGTATTTTTTTTCTCTTGAAAATATTGTGCCTATGAAGTTTGGCAGGTTTTACAAAATTAGCACCCTCCGAAAAAAAAGCTTTTTTTTAATGGTTTTTTGATAGTGCCTCCAGTGCTTTGCTTCTCCTAAGCCTCAGGAACAATATTTTTCAAAGAAAAAAAACACACCCAGATTTGTTCCTAGTTGCTCCAGAAAAAATTTCAGCCCAAAAGAAAGTATTATGGCCGTTTGCCGGGGGGGGGGGGACTTGAGGTCATTTTTGACCATTGACCTTCTAAAATCTCCCTGAAGAAAGCATTTGAAAATTGTGAGTCTACGACAACTTTTATTCTACTCATCGAGATCTATCTACCCTGAAAGTTTCAAAAATTTTCGCCTAACCATTCTCGAGAAACATCGAAAGGAGGGGGGTCCCCTTAATACATTATAATCACTCGTTTTTCATATTTTGAAATTTTTTTCTGCATTATTATGGCATCTAGTAGTACATGTGATTCAGATGTTAGTGAAACTTTTACGAATTCTGAATTAGACAATGAATTAGATAGTGATTCTATTTACGATTTTGACAACGAATCGGATAGTGAGACGAAGAACAGGATACACAAGGATCTCTCGAAGAGAGAAGATGGAGAATGGAGTGGTTCGAGCCAAAAAGATTTACATTTGACTCAAGTGAAGCTGGTATCAATTCATATTTGCCAAAAAATGATGAAAATAGACTATTAGATTATTTTTGTTTGATATTTGACCATAATCTGATGTAGAAAATTGTTGAGGGTGTGGGTGTGCGTTTGAATGTCTAACTTTTGTTCGTCGACAGCAACATCACCCCACACCCACACCCACACCCTTCTATCAATTCTATGAATGAGAAGTCTGAGGCAAAACAAACTTGAAGATTTGCCATCATTCGAGTTCAGGAGATTTTTTCTTATATCTCAGAGACACATGATGCAAATCTGAGACTCTCAATATTTATAGAGTAGATACTAGACTACAATTGGGCGAAATTGAAATTAAGAATATATTTTAAAAAAAGAGCCTGTGAGAGTTTTATTAAAAAATACTTGCAAAACCTTCAAAGTTGCTTGACTCTCAGCTATAGAGGTGCCGTCGATCACCCTCTGTAGAATAGTGAAAGTAGCGATTCAATAGCTTACAGCGTGACAGAGTTATTAAACAAACAACCGAGCTCACTTTATTTTGAAATGGATAGTACTGTTTTAGGTTGAATAGTTCATAAATATAATACATTTCATTTGTTGATAATAATCTTCTCTAATTATCGGAGAAAAATAAAAATAATCATAATGATGAAAATAAATTTTTGAATTTTTTCATTCCTTTTATTTCTTACGATGTATAAATATAAGCAAAACCAAATAAATAATCTTGCCAAACAGATTCTAGTTATTTTTTTGTAAAAATTTCCTTCTATTTTTTTTTGACTTTCAGATGTAAGCTAAATTAAATCATTAAGAAAACGTAATTTAATATCATATAATGAACATTATCAGCTGCATTCCGAAGTAATTTTGATATATTTTATTTCTAGATGTTAAAAAAATTCACCTATATTTTCAATTTTTCATTCAGCTCTTATTTCTAAACTTGATTTTTCAACAACTAATCCACTTTCTTTCTATCTCAAGTACCTCTTAATATGTAAAAATAATATTGAATATTTTTGATAAATATTGTATTTTACTTCAAATCGAATATAATAATGTGCAGTTGTAAAATCATTTGGATGAAATAAAACTAAATTAGTCAATAGTGTAAATAAATTGTATATTTGCATGACATTAGATTTTTCGTCTTTATATAATAATAATAAATTTTTTTTTTTGAAGCGTAATGAATAATTGAAAAGTTATTTGATAAAATGTTCGTTTACTTTTTAATTTTGTTGAGAAAAGAATTCTAATAATTTCAATTCTTGAAAACATGTTCATCTAATACTAGCTAATAGTTTTAAAATCATTCGAAAGAGTAGAAACGAAGAAAAAAAATTTGAAATGTAATTTTACTATAATCATTGCCGATGATCAAATGGAGGTACTATTCTTCTCATATGTTTAAACATAATATTTACAGTCATATCAAATACATCGTAGAAAAAAGAAATTTTCTATATTGGATTCCGAAAAAAAATCTTTTATTAATTTTTAGCTCTTGAACAAGACAAAAGTAATTAAGAATGGCTAGTAGTTCTTTTTTTTGATTGTCAGAATTATCTAGTATGTTTGAAACTGAAGTCATCTTGATGGAATCAAGTCT